GGAAAGGAGAATAAAGTTGTGCTGAGAAGGTGGAAATTTAGGACATGAAACAAAAAGGAGCAGAGAAACAGGGAAGGCAGAGAGGAGCTGAGAGCAGGCCTGTGGCATGAAGACCCACCAGCACCACGGGTCCCTAGAATGATCCGGAATAGAGAATTCATCCCTGGTTCTGGACTCCCAAGAGGCCTGACCCAATTACAACTTCTCTTCTTTGTTTTTTTTTTTTTCTTTCATGAAATCCCATCTTCCATACTTCTGTCTGAGTATGTGCGTAGTAAGCCCTTGTGTGAATAAAAGGAAAAACCTCTGTCTGTCTCTGTATTCACGCCACTTCTGACACCAAATGTGTGGGTTTTCCACGCTAACCAGTTCTCCAACTATGTGTGGACACCAACTGGGTGTCCTACAATTCAATTCTGATACTAACTAACTGGAGTTAGTGTACACCCTACAAGTGAAGTGCTCCGTCCCTTAAGGCTGCCCCCACTTCAGATGGCAATCACAAGCAGTGGATCCCCAGATGACAGACTTGGCTATGAATTGGGGGTTCCTACAACCCCTTCCTCAGGTTTGGTAATTTGCTATAGTGGCTCATAGAACTCAGGAGAACACATTTACTCGTTTATTGTAAAGGATATAACAAAGGATACAGATGAACATCCAGATGAAGAGGTACATCTGACTGGAAGAGTTCTGAGTACAGAGCTTCTGTCTCTATGGAGTTGGGGTTGCACCACTGTCTCAGCATGTGGAGGTGTTCACCAACCTGGAAGCTCTCCAAACTCCATAGTTTAGGGATTTTTATGGAGGCTTCATTATGTACGCATGATCAGTTATTAACTTAATCTCTAGCTCCTCCTCTCCCCAGAGGATGGGGGGCAGGGCTGAAAGTTCTAAGCTCCTAGTCATGGCTTGGTCTTTCTGGTGACTGTCCCCCATCCTGAAGCTCTCCAGGAGCCCACCAAGAGTCACCTCACTAGGACAAAAGACCCTTTTATCAACAAGGAAATTTCAAGGGATTTAGGAGCTCTGTGTCAGGAACCAGGGTCAAAGACCAAATATTAAAACAAAAGATTCTCTTAGCACCCCTCTCACTCAGGAAATTACAAGGGTTTTAGCAGCCCTAAATCAGGAGCAGAGACCAAATATATATTACTTATTATGCCACAGTGACATAGTTTGTGTATTTATTCCTCACAATCAAACTTGGCCCTGTGAAATTGACAGTACCTCATGTCAAAGATGTTGACTTGCTTTGACCCTTTTTGTTGAGCCAGTTCTGTGGCACTCATCAGGGTAGTCTCAATCCAGCTCAAGAGCATCAAGTTACATGGAGAAGTCAATGGAATGGAGAGGACCGGGGGCCAGGGCACCAGACTGAGCCCAGAAGCGTGGAGATGGTGATATGAGACAGGACAGGCACAGCAAACAGAAAATGAGGGCTAGAGCCAAGGGGCAGGCCAGAGGCTGAGCTCAGAGTCTCTGGAGGCCCCAGGAAGAAGGGATAGGGAGCGCACCCTAGTTCTGCTCACTGCCAGAAGAGGGAAGGGATGGTGGTGGAGTCCATGATTTGAAGATATCTGAACTTCTCCCTACCCATTCCGTTGCTTTTATCAAAATTCTCACTGTCCATTTTATCCAGTCAAACCTATTTCCCTTGGCTCTTGCTCTTGCTTTTTTTTTTTTTTTCATACCCACCCCCATTTCCCTTATGCCTGGAACAATCTCCCACTTAGCATCTGCCTGCCCGGTGCCTTGCCTTCCTTTACAATGCCACCTACCACTTAGTTTCTCTGATTAAGTGGCAGTTGAATAATCATACTTCTATCTTCAAAGTACATCATTTAAATCCCAAATGTCTTTGGGATTGCCATACATGATGAAAGGTCTGACTGACTGATTTTCTTTAAGGGAATGATTACTCATTCACAGCACCATGCCTGGTACATAATAATGTTCAGTAAATTGCAGCTATTAATTGATAATGATATGTTATTGGGGCACCTGGGTGGCTCAGTTGGTTAAGCATCTGACCCTTGATTTTGGCTCAGGTCATGATCTCAGGGTCATGGGATTGAGCCTTGTGTCAGTCTCCATGCTCAGCACATAGTCTGCTAGAGGTTCTCTCTCTCCCTCTCCCTCTGCCCTAACCCCCGCTGTGCGCATGTGTGCTCTCTCTCTCTCTAAAACAAACAAACAAATAAATAAAATATTTAAAAAATGATACGTTATTCATAATAGTAACAATACTAAGAAGACGATATAGGCTCTGAGAAGATAAGGACAATTAGCCAGTGGTCTGGCTTGCCTGGGCAGATGCCCATCCTCATCCAATCAGCCATGGTTAGGCCTATGAAAGTCTGCTGATTTCAGGTTGAGTTAGAAGGAGGAGTTAGGCATGGCAGAAAAATCTATTGATCTCTGCTATAATTAAATATTTGAATACTGGGTTATTGAACCTGGGCATAGAGTACCCATTGTCTTTGTCTTGACCAGTACACCATCTATGTGTGCCCTCATACCATGGCTTGTCACTCTGTATCCGGTGTTGAAGTTATTTCTGAGCACATCTCATGTCTTCTGGTCAACTGTGAGTTCTTGAAACTAGAGTCTCCTAGGTTCCAGGAACAACCCAGATGTCTGGGGAATGGATGACTAATGAAAGAAGGAGGATAATACACATCACTCCTAAACATCAAGCCCTGAAGTAGCAGCCTATGCTTCTCCAGGCCTGTCTCCCAATCCTTTCCCCATTCTTTCATTCAACTAGTGTTTACTGAGCACCTACTATGTGTGAGGGTCTGGGAATCCTGCTAAACATCCCACAATACCTAGATCAACCCCCCATGACGAAGAGTTTTCTGGTCCAAAATGTCCGTAGTGCTGAGCTGAGAAACCCTGGTCTCTACAGTGTTGGCTTCTAAGCCGTAAATTCAACTGTAAACTGTGAAATCAAGGACCAGAGGATAAGGCGCATAGTAGGTGCTCACCGAATGCTTGTTAACCACATGAGTGAATGAATGCTATCTCTCATTTGTTATTTGGCCAAGTGCCTGGTACAGGGCTGTGTCCGAGTAGCTGTTCCGTAAATGGTTATTGACTTGTTCCTAAACGCCCCTCGCCCGCCCCCAAGAGCCACTTGTGCACAACTGGGGATGATGTCCTCCTGGCTGGCGGACAGGAAGGCCTCATAGCTGAGGTCTGGGGTTCCTGCAAACTGCTGTGGGAAGCCACAGAGCAGAGAAGCAGACAGTGTTTCTCTACATTGTGATGGATTTGTTGTCTCCTCTCCTGTCCTTCTTCTTTTAAACTCTCAGCAGAGAAGGTTTAAAAGGCTCAGCCAAGTGAGAGCCTGTGAATTCAGCTCCTCAGGAAAGGGAGGAAAAAATGAGCCCAGACTGAGGGTTATTGTTAACATATTTGAGAATCGAGAGCCCATTAGAATCAGAGATAGGGTGGAGCTCGAGGAGCAGGACTCTTCACCATGTCTTTCTTTCTTTCTTTCCTTTCTTTCTTTCTCTTTCTTTCTTTCTTTCTTTCTTTCTTTCTTTCTTTCTTTCTTT